TTTAACATGACGATATCAACCATTTAGCATCTCTCTTTAATTAACATTTTGTCCCTTTGCCAATTTATTGGCATTTTCTTTGTAAATACATCTGCTAGGCGCATCAGGCGTGTCCAAGCCCTGGGAGCACTGACATCCGCGCACACCTGGCTTGGTCACGAGTACCCGGGCGGCGCCATACCCAGCCCAGCCGGAGCGCAGGAGCCGCCGCCACCGCCACAGCTCAGGTGTTGGGTTCTAATTTTGTATTCTTTAATAAATTTCTTCCTACCCTCCTTTCCCCCCACCCTTCCCAGCCTCCAGTATCTTCTGTTCTAGTTTTTACTTCTATAAGATCAACTCGTTTTAGCTTCCACATGAGTGAGATCAGGTGATGTTTAACTTTCTGTCTCTGGCTTATCATATCTACCCCAGTTCCATCCATGTTGCCACGAATGAGAGTATTTCACCCCTTTTTATGGCTGAATAATATTCCAATGTGTTTGTCTACCACATTTTCTTAATCATTCATCTGTTGTTGGACAGTTAGGTTGATTCCATTCCTTGGCTATGATGAGCAGTGCTGCAGTAAACATGAAGGTGCAGATATCTCCTTGATAGACTGATTTCCTTACCACTGGATAAATGTCCAGTAATGGGATTGCTGGATCACGTGGTAATTCTACGTGGTAGTTTTTTGAGGAAGTTCCAAGCTGTTCTGCCTAGTGGCTGTACTAGTTTACATTCCCAACAGTGTGTACAAGTTCCCTCTTCTCCATGTCCTCACTAATATTTATTTTTTGTCTTTTTTATAATTTCCATCCTAGTGAGAGTGAGATGATCACTCATTGTGGTTTTGATTTGCATTTCCCTTATGATCAGTGATGTTGAGCATTTTTTCATCTATTTGTTGGACATTTGTATGTTTTCTTTTGAGAAATGTCTGTTTCAATCATTTGCTCATTTTTTAATCCAATTGTTTGCTTTTATGCTGTTGAGATGTTTGAGTTTCTTATACATTCTGGATATGAACCCCTGTCAGATGAATAGTTTTTGTTTCAATCATTTGTCCATTTTTTTAATCAAATTGTTTGCTTTTATGCTGTTGAGATGTTTGAGTTTCTTATATATTCTGGATATGAACCCCTGACAGATGAATAGTTTTCAAATATTTTCTCCCAGCTTGCAGGCTGTCTTTTCACGTGGTTGATTGTTTTCCTTGCTATGCAAAGGCTTTTTAGTTTGATAAAATCCCATTTGTCTATTTTTTGCTTTTGTTGCCTGTGCTTTTGAGGTCTTATTCATAAAATCCTTCCCTAGGCCAATATCCTGAAGCATTTACCGGTTTTCTTCTAGTAGTTTTATAGTTTCAGGTCTCAAAGTTAATTTTTTTTTTTTAAATCCCACCCTGCACTCACGTGACACCTCAGTGGTCTCACACTAATCTCAATCCTGAACTGGATCCTGTCTTTATTGAAAATGTTGATCTACTGTTCATCCAATATATATATGATTTTGCTGGGCATGGTGGCTCACACCTGTAATCCCAGCACTTTGGGAAACTGAGGCGGGAGGATTGCCTGAGCCCAGGAGTTCAAGACCAGCCTGGGCAGCATAGTGAGACCTCATCTCTACAAAAAAAAAAAAAAATCAAAAAAATTAGCCAGGCATGGTGGTGCAAACCTGTAGTCCCAGCTACTCAGGATGCTGAGGCAGAAGGATTGCCTGAGCCCAGGAGGTGAAGGCTGCGGTGAGCCATGATCATGCCACTGCCCTCCAGCCTAGGCAACAGAGTGAGACCCTGACTCAAAAAAAAAATTAATTTTGATTTTTTTAAATGTTGCATTAATTCAAAATATTGCATAAATGAGTGATAGCATTGATCTTGGTTACTGAGTTTTTGGTGTACCTCCTTACCTCATAACTTTTGCACCCAAGGCTAATGCCTTACCTGCCTGATCCTAGTCTCAGCCTGGAGAGGGAGCAAGTGTCTGGAGGCTCCTGACACCCCAATATTTAGGAAGTCACCTCATGACTTCCTGGGTGAGGTTTAGCCTACATTCATTCACTCATTCATCCATTGGCTTGTCCCACATGGTTTACTGTTTCCAGTACAGGCCAGGCATCGTGCTAGCTTTCGAGGTTGACTTAATCCCGCCTCCATGGTGCTTATGATCTCCAAGGGGAAGATCTTACACCATTACTCAAATATTTAATTCCAATAAACGGGGCATCAGGGAAGCCTTCATGAGTAAGCAGCATTTTAGCTGAGAATTAAAGTATTAGTAAGAGCCGGAAGCACAGCAGGAAGGAACAAGATCCCAGGAGGCAGGAACTGCCTGTGCAAAGGCCCTGAAGTAGGAGGAGCTCAGAGGGGTGGGGGCAAAGTAAGTCCCCACGCTTTCCCCTGGACTGACTTTCCTGGTGGGTTTGGAATATAAACAGCAGCCCAAGGCAGTGGTTTCCAGGCCTGAACATCCATTTGAAATACCTGGGAAATGTGTTTAAAATGTGTATCCTCAGGCCCCACCTGTGAAACGTGATTCCATTGACCTAGCGCGGGCCTAGGAATCAGGTCCAGACAGTCAGTCCCTGGCATTCCAGCATCCCCAGACTCAGGCTGTCCTGCCCAGGTGAGCCGGCTGTGTTGCTCTCTGCAGGTTTGAGTGGTTCAAGGACCTGGGCCTGAAGTGGTACGGCCTCCCCGCCGTGTCCAACATGCTTCTTGAGATCGGCGGCCTGGAGTTCAGCGCCTGTCCCTTCAGCGGCTGGTACATGGGCACAGAGATTGGCGTCCGCGACTACTGTGACAATTCCCGCTACAACATCCTGGAGGTGAGGCTCCTCATGGGTCACCACGAAGGGGAGCCCAGGGCAGAGGGCGTCAGCTCAGCAGTCCCTCCCCACAGCCCAGCTCAGGAGCGTGGATGCTTGAAGGGGTTAGAACAGAATTGCAATCCTGGTGAAGCTCCTGGAAGCTTCAGAGGCACCTGTGTCTTTACCAGCGATGAAAATCACAGCCAAGCACAGTGGCTAACATCTTGAATCCCAGCACTTTGGGAGGCTGAGGCAGGAGGGTCACTTGAGGCTAAGAGTTCAAGACCAGCCTGGGTAACGTAGTGAGACCCCATCTTTGCCAAAATAGAAAAAAGAAAAAAAGTTAGCCAGGTATGGTGATAGCTACTCAGGAGGCTGAGATGGAAGAACCACTTGAGCCTGGGAGGTCGAGGCTAGTGAGTCTTGATTATGCTACTGCACTCCAGCCTGGCTAACAGAGCAAGACTCCATCTCTTAAAAGAAAAAGAAGGCCAGGCTCGGTGGCTCAGCCTGTAATCCCAGCACTTTGGGAGGCCAAGGCTAGTGGATTGCCTGAGCCCATGGGTTCAAGACCAGCCCAGGCAATTGGTGAGATCTCGTCTCTACAATAATTTTTTTTTAAAAAATTAGCCGGATGTGGTAGCACAGGCCTGTAGTTCCAGCTACTTGGAAAGCTGAGACAAAAGGATTGCCAGAGCCTGGCAGGTTGAGTCTGGGGTGGCCATGAGTATGCCACTACACTCTAGCCTGGGCAACAGAATGAGACTCCACCTCAAAAAAAAAAAAAGAAAAGAATAGCAAACATACACATAGCACACACCACACACTAACACTATTCAAAGCACTTGGCCTGTATTCCATTCTTATTTAATCCTCCCCATAATCTTGGTACTTCCCCTTTCACAAAGAAACCGAGGCCTTTTGGAGGGATGGAGTGACAAGCTCAAGGTCACACAGTTAGCAGGTGTGGGATGTCAGCCCAGTTTGGCCCGATGGTCCAAGTTCCTCACCACTGTGTTACACTGCCTCTCAGTGTTAAACCTTGTGAGAAGAGTTGGGGGGTGACCCACAAACTCGGGACATATTTAGTCTCCTCTGAAAAGCAAGGGAGGAGGGCTGGCAGTGGTTCCCTACTCTAAGCACTTCTCAGAGGGTCTGATTCCCTCCCGGGCTGACTCATCCTTATCGACTAAAAAGTGCTGGAGCGGTGCTTCCTGAAACTCACATTTGGTGAAAGCATCATGATTGCTGTGTTTTTGTCAGCAAATGTGTCTCACAACAGTCTGCTGCTGTTGGCTTTGTTTCAAACGTGGGCACTGAGAAACAGAGAAGTTGAGTGCTGGGCCTGTGTCACACAGGAAATAAGAGGCAGAGCCAAGATTAGAACTCATAATCCTGCACCTTTGGGAGGCTGAGGTGAGTGGATAGCCTGAGCCCGCGGGTTCGAGACCCGCCTGGGCAGCGAGACCTCATCTCTACAATAACTCAAAAAATCAGCCGGGCGTGGTAGCGCATGCCTGTAATTCCGGCTACTCGGAAGGCTGAGGCGGAAGGATCGCCGGAGCCCAGCAGGTCGAGGCTGTGGTGGCCGGGAGCGGCCACTGCACTCCAGTCTGGGCGGCAGAGTGAGACTCCAACTCAAAAAAAAAAAAAAAAAAAACAAGAACTCAACCAGGCCAGGCATGGTGGCTCATACCTGTAATCCCAGCCCTTTGGAATGCCTAGGGAGGAGGATCGCTTGAGGCCAGGAGTTCAAGACCAGCCTCAACAACATAGCAAGACCCCATCTCTACAAAAACTAATAAAAAAATTTAAAAAAAAAAAAGCCCAATGTGGTGGCTCATGCCTGTAGTCCCAGCTACTCAGGGGGCTGAGGTGGGAGGATTGCTTGAGCCGAGGAGTTTGAGGTTGCAGTGGTCTATGGGCAAAAGAGCAAGACCCTTTCTCAAAAACTCAGAAGCAAGTGTTAGGGTTGTGTTGTTAAAATCCACTGGTATCGCCCTGGAATATAGATGCAAGACATCTTCAGCCTCACTGCACACTGGAGGCCCTGGGACTTGATGGTGCCCGGGTCCCATTCGCCAGGGTTCTGATGTGACTTGGGCATCTGCATTTTGCAAAGTTCCCCTGGAAGATTCTACTGGGCAGCTACTGATGCATACAAACTTCTGGCACGAGAGAAGACATTTCAGGCCATTTCCACAGAAGGGACTCAAGTCGCATTTGGGGATTTTTTTTAAGTCATAAAACTTTTTCTCTCCCTGCAATAATTTCTATTCTTTTCACCAAAAATAATGCTGTAGAATAACAGTAGCAGGATGACTGACTGTACACACTTTCCTCTGTCCTAAACCAACTCAAGTTTCATATGCATTTCCATAAAGCAGCGTCACTTGTCTTACTTCCTGCAAACCTGTCGCTGGTAAAGGCTCCAGCAGAACCTAACACTTCAGCCTCAGAGTGAATCCCAAAGCCCGCTTTCTGATCTCTGCTTGCATCTCAGTTGCAAAGAATAGTTGCTGGGTAGCTTAAACGAGCCTCCCTCTCACCCCAACCCTCCAATCCCCACTGCTATTAGGTTCGCATGCTGACAGCTGGATCTGGGAGTCATTTACCCAAGCCCGAGAAATTGCTGCCTTCCAGCCCTGTAATGAGACCTGAGTTCCCGCCAGTGACTGGTATTGACAGAGACAGTGGAAACAGGGCTCTAATTAATGCATTTGCTCTTGGGTCTTCTCTGCTCCTGACACCAGTTCCTGCTTCTGCCTTAGCTGCAACATACATGTCACCAGCCGAGCTGGTTTTTGCAAGTCATTTTGCCGCAGGCGTGGGCTGGCTGGGGAGCAGGTTCCAGGACTTGGCCATTAGGCATCTTCCAGGGCTCCGGCTCCAAAGCCAACTGGCTCTGTGGACCCCGGAAAAGTTCAGGTACCTCTCTGAGCCTCGGTTTCCCCATCTGTCAAGCACTCATCGTCAAAGGACTTGTGCTGAGGAGTTCAGCACTCATCGTCAAAGCACTTGTGGTCCAGATGCTAAGTAATGACTGCTCTGGGGGTGGGGTAGGCTGGAGGGGCTGGAGAGGTAGCTTTTCCCCAGACCTACATCTCTGCTTAAGACAATCCCCAAAGCCGGGCTCGGTGGCTCAGCCTGTAATCCCGCGCCTTTGGGAGGCTGAGGTGAATGGATTGCCTGAGCCCGCAGGTTCGAGACCCGCCTGGGCAGCAAGACCTCATCTCTACAATAAATCAAAAAAATCAGCTGGGCGTGGTAGCGCATGCCTGTAATTCCGGCTACTCAGAAGGCTGAGGCGGAAGGATCGCCGGAGCCCAGTAGGTCGAGGCTGAGGTGGCCAGGAGCGGCCACTGCACTCCAGTCTGAGCAACAGAGTGAGACTCCAACTCAAAAAAAAAAAAGACAAATCCCCAGACTCTGCCTGCAGTCACACCTGGAATAAAATCCGGACTCCTTGGCACATCCTTCAGGGTCCCACATTGTCCAGTCCCGCCTCACTCCCACCAGATCCTCTCATGCGCCACCCTCTGAGTACACTGCCCTCTTTCTGTGTCTCAGATGGCCCAAGCTTGGTCCTACCTCAGAGCCTTGCTTTTGCTGGTCTCTCCCCAGAGCTACGAATTTTCTGCTTCTCCTCATCACTTAGGTCTCGCCTTACATGCTCTCTCCACAGTGGGCCTTCCCCGACTGCCCCGAATCAGCCCAGTTCCATGTTCTTCTTCATCCTGTTTCCTTACCTTATTTTCTTCCTAGGGATTAGCACATGTCAGTATTAACTCTCTCCCCACTCAGAATGTAAGTTTAATCATTAAAAGGCTAGCCAAGTCTCTAGTTTCCTGCTGCCGACAGGTTCTCAAAAGAAAAAAAAAATACTTTAAATGAGTGAGTGAATGAATTAGTTTGTGAGCGAGTTGATTGATTAATTAAGAAGTTCATTTATAACAGCAGCTCGTCAGTCTGAAATCCAGAGGTGCCCAGCCTATAGGTCTGCCTTTTTTCTCCTCTCTCAGGAAGTGGCCAAGAAGATGAACTTAGATATGAGGAAGACATCCTCCCTGTGGAAGGACCAGGCACTGGTGGAGATCAATATTGCAGTTCTCTACAGCTTTCAGGTAGCACCAGGACCCCACAATCACCAGGGTCGAGCCTCAAATGGGAGCTCAGACCCTTCCAAACCTGGGTTCAGAGGGTCAAGAGACCTACCTACCAGAAGCTGCTGTTGGGAGGAGTCTATCCATGAACATGGTCTGCCTCCCATCCTGCATGCCTTCCTCTCCAGTGTGGCTCTTGGGTGGGGACCATTTGACAGACAGATGAGATGAATAGATGGTGGAGGGGAGCATTGTGACTTGTTGCTTTGGGTTTTTTAGACTTGAGATGACAGGCATCCTCTGTGTCTTGTCCTTTCTTAAGTTCTCAGGCTATGGCATAACAGACAAATACTCATCATCGTGATAAGAAGCACTTAGGATCCAAAATGCATGAGGCTCTGTGGCAAATGGTATTATAGTAGGGTGGCTGTGAAATGTATTGGCTAAGCCACAACTCTTTTGAGAACAGAAAGGGGAGCTATAAATAATTATGCCAGGACAGTGGGCACAAACCAGGATTCTCCTGGGAAAACCAGGAGACTTAAAGAATAGAGGTCACTCGTCCTGATAGGGAGCATCTCTATCCTATGGGGGCTTCCAGTCTGGGCATGTCAAAGGCACACACAGCAGGATGAACACGTTAGACCAAGTCGTGAGTAGATAGGAATAAAAGCCATATGTCCCCATGTCAGATATGGGGACAGTGGGGGCACTGAGGAATATCAAAGGAAAGAAACAGCTTGAGATGGCAAGACAGAGGGAGACCACCTCCCTTCCCTCTTAGTGATAGAGGAGGTGAAGTTTGTGGACTGACACAAAGACAGGTCAGCCAATAGGGTCGGAGGGAGATGAGCAATGAAGAAACAAGAGAGCAGGAAGGGCGAGGTTTTATGAGCAAAGAGAGGAAATGTTGCTTGCACAGCTTAGGAATTCAGGCCCAGCCCAGCTCCCCTCGACATACAGTCCACCTGCGCCTCCCCTGTGATTTACCTGTGCTGTTTTTTTAAGTCAACTCAACTAAAAACTTGTATTTTATGAGGATTTTATATCACCACCATACACTGAGAGCGGGCATCAGTTGCCATAAATGGAAGGCAATTGTGATATTAAGTAAATAAGCAAGCAAACACAAGGAAAACAAAGCAAAGTTGTGCGTCTCTCACCAGTAACCCCAGCACTCCCAGAGACTGAGGCGGGAGGATCTCTTGAGCCCAGGAGTTCGAGACCAACCTGGGCAATATAGCAAGACCTCATCTCTGCAAAAAAATTTAAAAGTGAGCCGGGCACGATGGCACGCACCTGTGGTCCCAGCTACTCAGGAGGCTGAGGTAGAAGGATCGCCTGTGCCCAGGAGGTAGAGGCTGCCACAAGGAGTGATGGTGCCCCTGCCCTCCAGCCTGGGCCACAGAGTGAGACACCAACTCATACATAAATAAATCAATTTTAAAAATTTTAAAAAGGAGGGTGGGATGAGAGGGAGGAAGGTTGGAAGATCCACAAGAAAGATGTTAAAGATACAACAGCACCCAACCGAGACGTTCTCCTGGGCCTAAGTGGGGCCAAAAGAGAAACGCAGAGAGAATGGCCGTGGGAAAACCCACCCTGGGGCCCACTCCCAGGAAGCACTGCTCTGGGGGTAGAGAGTGAGCGTCCTGAGAGAGACACCCAACTTCTCTTTCCTCGGCACCCCTGTCCCCTCTCCTCCCACAGAGCGACAAGGTGACCATCGTCGACCACCACTCGGCCACCGAGTCCTTCATCAAGCACATGGAGAACGAGTACCGCTGCCGGGGAGGCTGCCCCGCCGACTGGGTGTGGATCGTGCCCCCCATGTCCGGCAGCATCACCCCCGTCTTCCACCAGGAGATGCTCAATTACCGCCTCACGCCCTGCTTCGAATACCAGGTCCCGCCCCGCCGCCTCTCTTGTGCTGAGTCTTCTGCGTCCGACACACGTGTTGCCTCGGGGGGCAACTATCTCTCTCTCTGAGCAGAGGGCTGCATCCCCTCCCTACACACACACATTGTCTCAGTGGTCCCACCTGCTCATCCGCTGGTCCCCCGCCGGCCAAGGGTTCTTCGGGAAATTTACTCCTCAGCAGTCTCGGGCCGTAACCCCCCTCTTTCCCCTCTCTTTTGTGAAACCTTCTTCATTTCATTCTTCAGCTCAGTGGTCACCTCCTCCAGGAAGCCCTTCCTGCCCTCCTAAACGCCATGAAACACTATTATTTTCATGAACCACTTTTTGATAGCACCTGTCACAGCTGCTCCATTTATTTGTGTGATTTCTCTGACAAAGAAATGGCTGTGAGTTCATGAGAGCAGGGGCAACATCTGTCTAGCTCACCGGGACACCCCCGGCACAGCGCCTGGCTCAGGGAGGCCCTCGGTACTTCCTGGCGGGCTGAATGAATGAATGATTGAGTACATGAATGAGTGAGTGAATTAGGGGCCAGCCCTGGACACTCAATAGCCGCACGCGGCTGGTGGCTTCCATATGGGACAGCACAGGTCTAGCGGAAAGACCAGATGGAGATGAAATGAATTTGAGAGGGACTGAGGGTGGAGGGGGATGGATTAGCCAGACAACGCAGAAACCACTGGGCAAGAACCTGTGGTCGGCACTTCTGGAATCCCACATGGAGGGCTGAGGGCAGGACAGCCCCAGGCCCTAGGGAGTCCTGGGCGTCTCCGAGGGGAGCCGGGTGCCCTCCTGCGGTGACCATTGTCCTCTTTTCTTTTCCAGCCCGATCCCTGGAACACCCACGTCTGGAAGGGCACCAACGGGACCCCCACAAAGCGGCGAGCCATCGGCTTCAAGAAGCTGGCAGAGTGAGTGTCCTGCAGCAGGTGGGCGGGCAGCTGTGCACCCATGCTCAGAGAACCCCAGCGAGGGGAGCCAGCTGGTGCTTGCACCCCACACTCCCACTGGCCCCTCGGGGATACAATCTTGCCGTCTCCTCCTGCGCCCATGCCTGCTTTGCCCCGAGTGGGAGATGTCAGTGTTGCCCCAATGTTTCTCTTCCTCGAACTCACTTTCCCTTCCCAGTTTCTTAAACTCTTGTCTTAGAGACAGTGGTATATCGATAATAATAATACCTTGATTCATAACGTTTGCCCATTGCCATGTTGTAAACACTCTCATGATGGCCATTCTCAAGCTACCAACAGAAAGTCACTGAACTCAGAGTGGGGAGGAACCGTGGTCAGTCAGCCCCAGGGCAGCACTGCCTAGAGAACATCCTGGACCAGGGCTGGCCCCTAATTCATTCACTCAGTCATTCATTCATTCAGCCCACCAGTGATTGCTGAGGGCCTCTCGGAGCCAGGCGCTGTGCTGGGCTCCAGGGATGTCATGGTGAGCTAGACAGATGTAGCCTCTGCTCTCATGAACTCACAGCCATTCATTTGTCAAAGAGTTACACATATACAATAAGTGGCAATAATAAATTAACTCATGGAAATAACAGTGGTTCAAGAAGTCTGGGAGGTCAGGGAGGGCTTCCTGGAGGAGGTGACCATTGAGATGATGAAGGTTCAACGACTAAGAGGTGATAGGGGGTACATAGCTACTGAGGAGTAATTTTCTTGAAGAATACTTGGCTGGCCGGGTGACAGCTGATGAGTGGGGTGGTACCAGCTGAGACAGCTTCATGGGGGTGCAGCCTTCTACCCAAAGAAAGAGAACCTCATGGAGTAACTCACCAGAGGCTAATGTTTGGAGCTACTGTTTTGGCAGGAGACAGGGGTATGTCCTGAGGCTCATACTCACCTCCTTGAGTCCAGAACTCTCTATGTATGCTATCTCATCTATGACAAGTGCCATCTAAGCCAAGGACCCCAAAGGCAAGACATTGGTGGGCCTTGCAGAGACTCAAACCTAAGTCCTCACTCCTAATATGGCCAGTGGGATCTCTCTTCCTCTCTCTCCTTCCACCCTAATCCCATCCTCCAGCCAGGCAAGAACTCATGACAGGCTGGGCGCAGTGGCTTACACCTGTAATCCCAGCACTTTGGGAAGCCGAGGTGAGTGGATTGCCTGAGCCCAGGAGTTTGAGACCAACCCGAGCAACGTAGCAAGAGTTCGGTTTTACAGAAATGAAAACAATTAGCAGGGCGTGGTGATGTACACCTGTAATTTCAATACTCAGGAGTCTGAGGCAGGAGAATCACTTGAGCCCAGGGAGTCGAGGCTGCAGTCCTAATGCAAAACAAAAAACAAAAAACCCTCATGGGCAGCCATCCTTTCCTAACGAGAATATTTCACATGATCTCAGGGCCCCCATTGGCTCCAGTTAGGTTCCCCTGTCTCTGAGGAAGAAGGGAGGAAGAAATCTAAAATGTTAATTGCACTATTAAGTTTTGGGTAGTAACAATGGGAATTAATTATCGCTGTGTTTTTATGCTCAGATCATTCCAAGGGAACCCTCCAGCTACCTTTTATTCCTTTCAGCTTCTCCCCCAAGCTCCTGTGTTCCTACAGCGTGGGCGGTTTTCCTGATTCTAAAAAATAATGAATTTACCTCCAATAATCCCCAGGTGGGGGATAATTAGCGATTTGTATACAACCGCTAACTGGAACCTAACGGGAGCCAACGGGGGCCCTGAGATTCCTAGTTAGAACAGGGAGTTTCGCTCAGGAGTGGAGCCCAGGTATTCCTGAGCCCCTGGTTTCTGTGCCCTCTCCCCTCTGCCTCACTCCTGGCCCTGTAGAGGGGAAGGATGGAGCCTTGGTTTGGGCTTCTTCGTTTACCTGGAAAGAGGCTGGACTCGGCATTCAAACTCCCCAAAGAGGCAGCATCTTTGGATAGGTATTTAATTAGAATCTACCGGGTACCAGGCTCTATGCAAGACCCCGGATGTGCATTGCTGAGTAGGCCAAACCTGGCCCTACCTTGGACCTCTCAACTCCCTTCTAAGTTAATGCCTGGTGACTTCTTAGGGATTCATTTCTCTCTGTGTTTCTCTCAAGCACGCGTACACACGCATGCACACATGAGCATAGCTCTATCCTCAGTGTCCTCCAGCTCCTCCAGCAATGCCTGACACAGTCAAACACTCAACACATCTTTGATGAATGAGGGATAAGCAAATGGATGGATGATCATCCTATGAGGCAACTCTTGGGATGCCAAAGTGCTGAAGCCTGGGACCCACGGACCAAGCCACAAACTAACAGAACTCACCCTCCGTTCTGATCATAACGAATCGCTCTGGTGGAATTCACCCAAGAAGTCAGTTGGCTTCCTGGAGGCAGAGGTTTTGAGTGTCTCTGAGGGAAGCCTGAGGCCATCAAGCACGTAGAGGCCACGTCCCCTCCTGTTAGATTTCATGGATAGCAGTTCTGAAAGTCCCAATTCAGGATCTTCTCTCCCTCCTCCCTTGTTCCCCCCCCATCCTCTTCCCTCCAGAGCTGTCAAGTTCTCGGCCAAGCTGATGGGGCAGGCAATGGCCAAGAGGGTCAAAGCGACCATCCTCTATGCCACGGAGACCGGCAAATCACAAGCCTATGCCAAGACCTTGTGTGAGATCTTCAAACACGCCTTTGATGCCAAGGTGGGTAGGGGACAATGACAGCTCCTCGGCCCTTCATGGTAAATAAAAATGGGGGAGGCATAGAGGCTCACACCCGTAATTTCAGTATTTTGGAGGACCAAGGCAGGAGGATCACTTGAAGCCAGGAGGTCAGGACCAGCCAGGGCAACATAGGGAGATCTCATCGCTACAATTTTTTTTTTTTTAATTAGTCAATCACGGTGGTTCATGCCTATAGTTCCAGCTACTCGGGAGGCTGAGGAGGGAGAATCGCTTGAACCCAGGAGTTCAAGACTGCAGTGAGCTATAATTGCACCACTGAATTCCAGCCTGGTGACAAGAGTGAGACTTCGTTTCCAAAAACAAACAAAAAAGATAATAAATAAAACTAACACTTAAAAATATTAAAATAGGAGAATATCTTTTAAAATGGGAAGGGGAAAGAGAGAAGTCAGCAGAGAAGGACCCCTTGACAGCAGATGAAAGCACACTCGAAAATGCCCACACGTACACAAATCTCAGGGGACCCTGATGTGCCTCTCTCCACAAACCTTCCAGAAGTCTAGGAATCACAAAATATCCCCATCTTTGGAGTAAAGTGTTAGAAGGTTTGTAAGAACCCGTTCTGAGAACAGTTTTGGAAGCTCTGCATTAAACACAACTGAATCGATTTCATTCCTGCAGGACTTCTCAGAGCCTTGAATCTACAAGCATGCCTTATAATCTCCGAAAGAGGAGAGGATAGAATGTCAGTGTTTCCCAAATGTATTTGACCAGGGACCACTTATTTTCATGGAGCATCTCAGGAGACTGGAATTTTCTAGAACCTGCTTTGAGAAATGTTGCTCGGGGCATGATAAGACACAGGGCAACCGTCTTTCCCTGAGGCACGTACCTCCGATGTGTTTGGCCGGGGCACTCCACACTGCTGGAGGGAGGATAAGAGAAGAGACTGAGCAGCCTTGGTCAGATCTGGCCAGATCATTTTCAACCTACATGGGGCAGAAAAAATTCAGGTCAACCGACTGTAAGAAGCCCAGGGGCCTCCATCAAGATCCCTCTCTGCTGGCAGCCCACCCTTGAACCGTTGCCCCAGGCAAGCCTTCAGGCCACCGACCATAGGAAGGTCCCCAAAAGCGCTTAGTTCTACCCACTTGAGCCCATGGAACTGTGGAACCAGAATGAGGGGCTCTCGTCCCATGGAGTTGACTCAAAATGACTCCCCTTCTCCTCATCTCTTCTCCCTCTCCATCACCTCCTGTCTCTCCTCCCTCTTCTCTCTCCTCACCGCCTTCTTCCTTCCCTTGCCTCTGCCCGCGCCCCTAGGTGATGTCCATGGAAGAATACGACATCGTGCACCTGGAGCATGAGACTCTGGTCCTGGTGGTTACCAGCACCTTTGGCAACGGAGACCCCCCTGAGAACGGAGAGGTGAGATGCGCTTCCATCTGTCCTGGCGTATGCTTCCACCATGGGGAAGAAGGAGGAGCCGAGCTGGGCCCCTTCCCCTACACCTGTTCAATAGCAAATCTTGCTGAGCCTCAAAGCCAGTGGCTTCCACTGGGACCCAAGTTATGTGCAAACATGGGACGATTTCAAGTCCCCAGTCTTTCGGTGTCCACTAGTTGGCTGGTCCCTCGTGAAAACGATGTTGCCTAAGTGAGCCACCGGTTTGGAATGGGTGCTCCTATGGTGAGCTTGGAGTCTCCTACTGCATTTGAGGGACCCCAAGCTCACGATCAGAGCACCCATTCCAAACAGGTGGCTCACTCAGCTGACATCGTTTTCACGAGGGACACTGCGACAATATTTTCATAGAGAGGAAGCTATGAGGGGGAGTTGTGTGCTGGAGAAGGGGAGGTCCACAACCTGCAGTCATTTAAACAGCTGGTCTTTTCGCTGCATCTGCAATGCGGGCACTGCTACCTGGCCTGATCCCCCGACCATGCCTGACTTCCAGGGTCCCGGGCATCAGTCTCCTCTCCGCCAGCCAGGACCCCAGTCCCTCAGCGCCCGACTCAATTCCCGATTAACACATGTTTTACATCTCGCTCATCTGTTTCGGCCTCCAGAAATTCGGCTGTGCGCTGATGGAAATGAGGCATCCCAACTCTGTGCAGGAGGAAAGAAAGTAAGTAAACGACCCTTCCAATGTCACCCGATGCCCCCCGGGGTAGCTGACTTTACCATCTGGGCTGTACATTCAGTTCCGGGTAGTGGCTGTAACCCAAGTCCCTTTGTGACAACTTTAGCTTGGGGGCATCTGCCGTCCATTGGGGCAGAGGTTTTTTGTTTGTTTTATTTTATTTATTGTAAAGATGTGGGGTACAATTCAGGGTTAGGTATACAAACATTGATCATGCAGGTACCCTTGTTGATGAGGTATGCCCCTCCCTCCCCTAGCAGTTTCCCTCAACTGCTAATCCCACCCCCACCCCCCCCCGACAGTTTTCCACTACTGCCAATCGCTTTCTTAAAGCATTATAATTGTTCAAGTTCTGCTTATGAGTGAGAACATATGGAACTTGGTTCTTTGTTTCTGTGATAAATCATTGAATATAATCGACTCCAAATCCATCCAAATTGCTGCAAAGTCCGTGCTGGATTGGATTTTTAAAATGTGGTACATATACACAATGGAATATTATGCAGCCATAAAGAAGGGGATGGGTTTTGGTTTCTGGGCAGGTCACTTTGCAGTCCCATGTCTCAGTTGCTTTTTCTGTCAAATTGGGGTTCTAATACCTGCCTTAACTTTCTCATGGGTAAGAATCCAATGAGAAGCTAGATGAAAGGGCATGGTGTAAACATCGTTCTTATTCTTTTTCCCTCTTTGGGAACTTAGATGCAAAATTAATGAAAGGTAACCTATAGTCTCCAGTTACTCAGGAGGCTGAGGCAGGAGGATTGCCTGAGCTTCAGAGTTCAAGACCAACCTGGGCAACATGGCGAGACCAGTCAAAAAAGAAAAGTTACTAAAACCTTCTTTTCTTAGAACTTTACTCTCTGATGCTCACAGCAGGGTTGCAGCTAATGTAGATGTCAAATTCAAAAGATAGATGCCTCAATGTAAGACAAAAAAAGTACCTATCGTCAAAAGACGTTCATGATGGAATTGCAACTAATGTTAGGTTGGGTTCTAAAGGTATTTGATAAGGTGAAAAACATCTGTAATCAAAATTATCCAGGTGGGAGGATTGCTTGAGGTTGGGAGTTCGAGACCAGCCTGGGCAACATAGCAAGACCCCCATCTCTACCAAGAATTAAAAACTCAGTTGGATGTGGTGGTGTGCGACTGTCATCCCAGCTACTCGGGAGGCTGAGGTGGAAGGATTGCCTGAGCTCAGGAGTTGGAGGCTGCAGTGAGCTGGGATCGCGCTACTGCCTTCCAGCCTGGGTGATAGGGCAAGCCCCAGCTTGAAAAATAAGAATAACAATTACCCTTGAAAAGCCCTTCCCGCCCCGTAAGGTCTGGGACATATGTCGTGTGCTCACTGGACTGCCTTTCGGTGAGGCCAGCTCAGTGGTTCCCCGGCATGGAGCAGATCCCTGTGTCCTCCGCTGAGTGTCAGACGCAGTAGCTGGCTGCGTCTGTGGGTGGCGTTTTGCAGAAAATCCCTCCTGGCTTTTTGCTGAGCACATGTTGCCAGGCTCACATCTGTTTGAAACTCAGGGGGTATGGAGAGTTGCTGAGTCCCTGTTGCCAGCCCTCATTCTGTGCCCGACTCGGGCATCCTAGTCCCTGATCTCCCTGCCCCTCTCCCTGCCACCCCATCCTGGGTGGCCTCCCAGCAGGACCCTCTCGCCCCTCCTTCAGGGAGAGATAGGGCACCATCAATTCTCCCCTCTAGGTACCCGGAACCCTTGCGTTTCTTTCCCCGTAAAGGGCCTTCCCTCCCCCGTGGTGACACAGAAGTCCACGGTCTGGCTACAGCCCGTGACAGCCAGCACAGGTAGAGAGAGTGTGCGTGAGTGGATTTGCATGTGCTTGTGCCCATGTGTGTACACGCATGTGTGTGAAAGTGTGAGCACGCATGCCCGGGGCCACATCCGGGTCTTCAAGAGACCCGAGTCCTAACCCGAGTCGCATCCCTAACTCATTGAGTGACCTTGAGCGAGGCCCTTGACCTCTGTGGGCCTCAGTCTTTCTCATCTGCCAGATGGGGAGAAATTGCCCCTGCCCTGTCCACCTCTGGGGCCTGTTGCTGGGATGAAAGAATAGCAATAAAGAAGGATGAATAATAAAGAAGAAAGCGTTTGGCAAACCTGCCACCTCACACAAATACGCGTGCTGCTATTTTTGCCCGCCACCGTCAGCCATCCCTCCGACACTAACCACCCAGCCACCCCCTGATACGTTGCATGACTTCTTTGGAGAAGTGACTCAATATGAGACTATTTTAGGGCAGAAAATACACTTTCATATATTTAGAACTTTCCTGATGCTGGAGCGAAAACTTTGAAGAGCCTCCAGCTTAGAAATCCTGCTGCCAGAATGCACTTTTTTTTTCCTTCTCTTTTCTTTCTTGTGGGGGGGGGCATCTGTACCCAAGTTTGTGTGTGGGAGTTTTTTCTTGAGTTTTGTGTTTTGTTCTGGGGTGTTGGTTGTTTGGTCTTGCAGTTTTTGTATGGGTCTGGGAACAAAACTCACCCTTTTTAGAGGAAAACTGAGAAACTGGATTTTTTTTTTCTTAAAGTCTCCAGACTCCTGAGCCTCTCAGGCTGAGATTTGACTCCCAATGACATCTCCCTTCACCTTCAAAACAATTTAATGAAAAATGAAATCTCTTTTCATGCTGGGTATTGGTGCTGAACATTTTTCATGTTTACTTCAGATGGGAAATATGACAGAACACTGAACTAAGGACCATAACTTTATGGGAGAGCATTGAATGGGTCCTCCAGCACTGTCCAGAACTTTCTACAAGGACATTAATGTTCTGTATCTGTGCTTGTCCATGGCAGCAGCCACTGGCCACACGTGGCTGTGGAGGCCCTGAAACATGGCTGTTGCAAGTGAGGAACAGGATGTTTAATTATATTTCATCCAAATCAACTTCACTTCGAATTTAAACAGCCACACACAGCCATCCTATTGGGCAGCACGGCCTAGTCTCTGGCTACTCAAAGTGAAGTCTGGAAACTAGCAACATTGGCATCTCCTGGGGGCTTGTTAGAAATGCAGAGTCCCAGGCCCTGTCCCAGAACTACTGAATCGCAATTACCCTTTTAACAAGAACCCAGGATGGGCCGGGTGCGGTGGCTCATGCCTGTAATCCCAGCACTTTGGGAGGCTGAGATTGGAGGATTGCTTGAGCCCAGGAGTGAGACTGGGCAACATAGTGAGGCCCCATCTTTAAAAATATAATTTAAAAAAAATTTAAAGATCCTAGGATGGTTGTACACATTAACATTTGGGAAGCAAGAAATCATGGCCTAATGCTTAAGCGGTAGTATGTTCTATTTCTGACTTCTTACTGATTCAATTATTTTAACTCTATGGGTCTCAAGTTTCCTGAGTTTAGCATGGCCAGAAACCCTTTAAGCACAGGTAGGGGCAAGTGCAGATGGAGTGTTACCACCGTGCTAGGCATGGGTAAGTTGGCACATTGCAGAAGAGGCCACAGGAGTGTTATGGTTGACAACAAGCTAGAGAAGACCTAGAACCAAGATTAGTGACTTGAAGATCCATCGAGGGTGTTGACCTCAGGAGGGGGTTCCGAGCCAGAGCTCACAGACACTCTTTGGTTTTGGTAGGAGCTACAAGGTCCGATTCAACAGCGTCTCCTCTTATTCTGACTCCCAAAAATCATCAGGCGACGGGCCCGGCCTCAGAGACAACTTTGAGAGTGCTGGACCCCTGGCCAATGTGAGGTGAGCAGGGCACCCCAAGGGTCAGGGAGGGCTGAGGCTCTCAGGAAGCTGGACTTGGTTGCAAGGTGGGCTCTTGGTTGTGGGGAGGTTTTCTCCCTTCTGTGTGCATTCATCCTTCGTGAAGCCAGCTGCCTCTTGGCTATCTGGGACTCCTCCACATTGTCTGGTTCCCCAAGCTCCATTTCTTATCCTCTGCGCCCCTCCACCCCATCGTTTGTGCTGAGGTATATTAATCCTTGGATATTTCTCAATGGGCTGCCCTTAAGATCACTATATATTTAATAGAAGCTTCTGGAAGCACCCTGCTATGACCACATGGTTCTTAACGCTGGATGCACATCAAAATCACCTGGGATGTTTGCTATATACCAGTACGATAAGCCCTACCTCCAGAGATTCTGAGGTAATTGGTCTAGAACTGGGTCCAAGCATTTACTTTTTACTTTTTTTATTTAAATCTACCCAGTGGACTCCAATGTGCAGTCAGATTTGAGGAATACCAGCCTCGCTCCATTTTTCCAAAGCACAGTCACATACCATGAGATAATTTTAGGAGCTACGTGGACACATATTTTGTGTTTCAACAATTCTATGGTTATTTGGAAAGAAACAAAACTGGGGTGTCAGACTCTCAGTGTCATGGATATCATTCAAGATGAGACTGACATGACATGAGCAACCCTGTAGGAAGAACATTCAGGCCTGACCACAAATCCCTCAGACTTTTATACCTGACCCTTCTCCATGACTACTTAGGGCAATGCCTGATGTAGATCCCTGGGTTCATAGATTTCTATCATGTCCACTAGTACATCTTCATAGACTTTCTTTTTGAAAGCAATTTTAGGTTGCTAGTAAAACTGAGCAGAAAATTGAGAGAGTCCTCATGTCTCTTGCCCCTATATACGTATAGCCTCCCTGACTCAGCCTCCTGCACCAGAGTGGCACACTTGTTAGAATCGATGGACCTGCCTTGACACATCGCTGTCAGCCAAAGTCCATCGTTGACATAAGGGCACTCACTCAGTGTTGAGCATTTGATGTGTTGTGACATCAGTAAATTTTTTAGCTCGACATTGAAGCCTCAATTCTGGAGTTTGGCAGTCAGACCCATTTTCCCCTTATTAAATCTATCATCTCAGGGGTTGGCAAACTGATGCCTGCAGGCCAAAACCAGCCTGATCGCTGCGTATTTCTTACAACCCGTGAGCTAAGGGTTTCCTACTGGTGAACATTTGTAAGTAATATGATGGTAGCAAACATTATCGTTGAACCCCAGTTAAGCAAAATGTTATCCCCTGCAAGATAATTCCAACCCTCTCATTAGTAGACCTGTATGACCAAAAAATTGGACTCAGTGACTATAATTATGATTTTAGTGTCGTCAATTTTAAAAGTCCAAAAATTTGTTTTCGTTGCTGTCGTGTAACTACCTACCTAGTAGATTCGATTTTGCTTCCTGGCCTACAAGTCTCCAATATACTTGCTATCTGACACCACATATAAAAAGCTTCCTGATTTGGAGGCTTAAAATAGGAATTTTTAAAATATAAAGTAAAGATTGTGATCAGAATGTAATTGTAGTGGAGACTGTGATGCAGGTCTCAAGTCCATCGAGAAGAATATTAATGAATCAGTCACAAACCATCATCTGTTGATGGATGCGAGAGGTGAGAGTCTTAGCCTGTTCTGGCTATGGTAGCAAAATACCATAAACTTGGTATTTATTGCTCACGGTTCTGGAAGCTGGGAAGTCCAAGAATAAGGTGCTGGCAGATTTGGTGTCTGGTGAGGCCCTGCTTTCTGATTCATAGATGGTGCCTTCTAGCTTTGTCCTCACATAGTGGAAGAACTCTGATCTCTTCAGCCACTTCCTTATAAGGGCACTAACCCCATTCGTGAGGGTGCCACCCTCATGACCCAATCAACTCCCAAAGACCCGCCTCCTATTACCATCACCTTGGGGGTTAGGTTTCAACATATGAATTTGGGGGGACATGAACATTCAGACCATGACATTGGGTTTCATGAGCTAGTGGCTAGAAATTAAAAGCAAATTAAAGAGCACGTATAAGTAATTAATCGTCTCAGTGGAAGTCAAATATGGCAGACATCACAAACATAAGTAACAGAGATTTGGGAAACAATACCTTAGCCACAAGTCATCACCAGCAACCGGAGTTTCTAGATTTGCCTTGGGCTACGGTTGTGGCAAGTGGCTTGGGGTGAGGTGCCATTTCCTGCCACCCTCCAATCAGTCCACACCTGGTCATCATCTCTCTCTACCTGTCAAGCTACCACCCTGCAAGGAAAAGGTGGCACTTCCAAATCCAGGAAGATCATGTGTTAGAGTGATGGAGAAATGCTGTCTAATTCCACACATTTTATTTGGGCAGGTTCTGGAAGGTAGGAAAGAAGAGAAGGGTTAAATGAGACAATGCAAATGTGGATTTGAGAAGAGAGGATATAAACCTATGTTCACCTTCATTTGATCTGTGAGACACCAGGACTCACCTCAAGTCCATTCTCCAGTGATGGAGAGTTCCTTTCCAACTTCCCCTGCCTCGTTCCCTCCTCCTCCATCTCAATCTGGTGCCTCTCGTCCCTATCATTCTAAAAAAAAAAAAAAAAGAGCCTCAGGGGCAGGGCCAGACCCTGTATGGTGTAAGTTAAATAGTCCCACTCCTGGACTTATCTGAGAACACTCTGACCTTGAAAAGAAGTGGGGCAAGGTGGGTATTCTTGTCCCATGTGTGAACCTGTTGCCCTGTCTCTAGAGCTACAGCCAAGACTAAGATGTGACATAAGGTGTCTATAGGACCATGAATTAGCAATAGGGGCCATCCCGGACAAAGCTTTTTGTCCCCATATTTCAGTTGAACTGGCCCTACCTCAACATAGTAAAAAACCTCATGATCTTGATCCCCACTGGTTCATGTACCAACATTTTCTTAGTGGTGTCTATGTAAAGAGAGTTTGTGAAGCAAATTAATTTCACAGACATTACAAGGGGGGAAGCCAGAATATTTATAACCCTTTCATCTCCTTGTAAAATAACCTTTTTACACATCAGTATTTGACTGATTAATGACAAGTTCTTCTGGTCTCTTCATCAATCCAGGTCCCTGAGGACTGCTATGTTATAATTTAATTGTCTTTGTACTTAAACTAATCTAGTAATGTCACTTGCAGAATTCAGACCTTCTGCTAACAGACTAATTTGTCCAGCTAGTCCAGTTTAGCAAAGGACACACAAGAAGCAGCCAATGATTCCAGGTCATTGCTATCCCCTACTTGTCTTCCTTAGAACGAATTAGAATCTTCTCTTAAGGATAGTGATACCTAGAAAAGACGAAAAGAAAGAGAGGAGAGATCTTGAAGGCTCTTCGGTTTAAAGATGACCTTCCACAGATGGGTTTGGGATTCTAGGCTAAACTACCATTGGTTAAGTACAGTCTTTCTTGAGATAACAGATTTATGAGTCTGCTTAGGCTCCATAACAAAATACCACAGACTAAGTGGTGCTTAAAGAACAGAAATTTATTTTCTCACAGTTCTGGAAGCTAGGAGTCAAAAATCAAGATGCTTGCAGGGTCGATTTTTGATGAGGCCTCTCTTCCTGGTTTGCAGACAGCCACCTTCTTGCTGTGTTCTGAGAGAGAGAGAGAGAGAGAGGGAAGGAGAGAGGGGAAAAATAAGACAGAGGTCTGGTGTCTCTTCCTCTTCTCATAAGGACACTAATTCTGACAGATTAGAACTCCACCCATATAACCTCCTTTAACCTTAATTACCTTCTTAAAGGCCCTGTCTCCAAATACAGTCACATGGAAAGTTAGGGGTTCAGGATATGAATTTAGGGGGATACAATTCATCCCACAGCACCAGACATTCCCCAAGCCCCACAGTCCCCTGGCATGGGTTTTCTGCTTTCTCTTTGGCAGGTTCTCCGTGTTTGGTCTCGGCTCACGCGCATACCCTCACTTTTGTGCCTTTGGACATGCTGTGGACACCCTCCTGGAGGAGCTAGGAGGAGAGAGAATCTTGAAGATGAGAGAAGGAGACGAGCTCTGTGGACAGGAAGAGGCTTTCAGGACCTGGGCCAAGAAGGTCTTCAAGGTAATCTGGTTCTCAGATACCCAGGGAAGAAAGTACCAGATCCATCAAGAAAGAGAAGAAACTTAGAGAACCCCTAGTTCTTTCTCCACGTGTCCAGCTAAGATACAACTTTAAAGAGCCAGATGAGTTTGGTGGCCTTAAAACACACATTTTCCACCCAGAATCCAACGTCCTTCATTATGAGCAAGGAGTTAATCCATCAAACAAAATTATAGTCTTGGGATTTCAGAGCTGGGAAGAAACTACCCCTCATTCACATTTGGTAGACAAATACACACAAAAAACATAGAGTTAGTTAACTAAGTCAGGCTGCCACACCTCGCCAAACTGGAACTCGGGATCTCACCAGTCTATCTACATTGACAAACCTATCCCTCTCGAGCTAGCTCTTCACTGACCAATATGGTAGCCACTAGCCACAATGGCCATTTAAATTTAAACTTCAACTAATTCATATTACATCTAATGAATGGATACATAAAATGTGGTATATTCATACAATGGAATATTATTGGGACATGAAAAATGAATGAAGTCTTGATACCTGCTACACAGTGGAGACACCTTAGAAAAATGTTTATGTAAAATGGAAGAAGCCAGTCACAAAAGGACATGGTGTAGGATTCCATTGATATAAAATGCCCAGAATTGGAAACTCCATAGAGTCAGAAAGCGCATTAGTGTTTGCTAGGAGCTGGAGGGTGGGAATTGGGAGTAACAGCTAAGGGGTACAGTGCCTTTGTGAATGGTGACAAAAAATTTTCTGGAACTAGACAGCGGTGAATGTTTCAAATGCCATGGAATTGCCATTTTAAAACAGTGAACTGTATGTTATATGAATTGTATCTATATCTATCCAGTAAAAATTAGATAGAATCGGCTCATTCTGTAATCCCAACACTTTAGGAGGCTAAGGCAAGAGGACTGCTTGAGCCCAGGAATTTGAGACTAGCCTGGGCAACATGGCAAGACTTCATCTCTACCAAAAAAAAAATCAAAAAATTAGCCAGGCATGATGGCGCACACCTGTAGTCCCCACTACTCGGAAGGCTGAAGTGGGACGATCTCCTGAGCTCAGGAGGTGGAGGCTGTGGTGAGCCGTGATTGTGCCACTGCACTCCAGTCTGGGAAACAGAGCAAGACTGACTCAAAGAACAAAAATTAGAATGAAAAATCCCATTCTTCAGTTGCACTGACTATACTTCCTATTCTCAGTAGCCACAAGGGTTTAATGGTTACCATGTCAGGCAATGCAGAATGTTTCCATCATGATAGAGCATCCTACTGGCCAGTGCTGTACCAAAGAGAAGGTTTCAAGAGGATAAATGAACCATGGCCTTCTGTCTACACGCGGAGTGTGATTCAGCTGGCCATCCTGGGGGGGTGGAAGCAGTGAGTGTGGACTCCACCCCTTTGACCCACTCCCTACTTGGCCCTAGATTGCGTTCTCATCCGCAGCCCCAGGAGGAAGGGGACTGCACAACCTTCTGTCATTCCAGGGACACTTTTTATCCTGAAAGCAAATGCAGGTAGAGCACAAATGGGGAAACTGAGGTCCCTGGGCTATAAGGATTTGTGTGTGGGAAGGCTGTGTCGATCAGCCTGTTCCTGCATTTCTTCCCAGATAAGGAGAATTGAGATGGCTTGACTTTTTCCATACCTTGAGATCACTCTATCCATCAGCCAACGCTGAATGAGCATCACAGAAGCATGGCTTGGTGAAGACCACTGGACCCTTTAGCTATCAACCTCCTGTCCTCCCATCCCACTGCCAGCTCTGCGGCCACAGATCTAATTTCTCTCTCTACCGATTTCCCTGTTTGGGACATTGCTATGAATACTATGTGGTCTTTTGCAACTGGCTTCTTCCACTTAGCATGGTGTTTTCAAGGTTCCTTCATGTATCTAGCATGAATCAGGACTCTATCCTTTTTCATGGCTGAATAATATTTCATTGTATGGATGTGCTACATTTTGGAGTTTCTTTATTTTAATTCCGGGGGCACATGCACAGGCGTATGATAGTGAGGTTTAGGCTTCTGTCGAACCCATTATCCAAATAGTCAACATGGTGCCCAATAGGTAGTTTTTCAACCCTTGCCCTTCTCTGTCCCTTTAGGAGTCACCAGTGTCTGCTATTCCCATCTTAACTTCCACGTGTACTCAGTGCTTAGCTCCCACTTACAAGTGAGAACATGCAGTATTTGGTTTTCTGTTTCTGTGTTAATTCTCTTAGAATAATGGGATATGCCCCATTTTGTTTATCCATTCACTCGTCGATGAATATTTGGATTGTGTTAAAATAAACACAAGGTCAAACACCAGTAAAAGCTACCCTTGAAAAATCTTTTGAAAAAGATGATCCTGAACAGTAAGATTTAGGATCATTAAAATTGAAAAACTAATGAGCTTGACCCCAGGAAAGGAAGCAAAAGAAGAATGTATACCCAGTCATCAAGACATTCAATATATTCTGCCTTTATGTAATTTTTAAAAATCTTTAGAGGGATATGAATAGAAAATTACTAGGTGTTTACTTTCTTTAATTTTAAGGCTCTATCCATGTGTGTTTTAGGAATAAATGGCATAATGGAATTATATCTTAAGTAGAGGTCAGGTCCTGAAGTAAATATGGTGTGTCCAGCTCATTGAAGAGAGAATGGGTAGATGGTTGGAAGGGTGGATGGGTGGGTAGGTGAATGGATTGATGGATGGGTGAATGGGTGGAAGAAAAGAAGGAAGGGAGAGAGGAAGGGAAGAGAAGGGAAAAAGGAAAGATGAGTGATGGATGTGTGGGTGGATGGATGGATGGATGGAAAGAAGAGAAGGAGGAAGGCAAGGAGGAAACGTGGATGGTTTGGTAGGTGAATGGATGGGTGGGTAGTTAAATGGATAGATGGGTAGGTAAATGGAAGGGAGGAAGGGTGGATGAATGGAAAAGAGGATGGTTGGGTAGGCGAATGAATGGATAGATGGATGGGTGAATGGAAGGGTGAATGGGAGGGAAGGAAAAAGGAAAAGGGGATGGTTGGGTAGGTGAATGGATGGGTTGGTGAATGGACAGATGGGTGGGTGAGTGGAAGGGAGGAAAGGTAGATGGATGGAAGAGTGGATGGATGGAAAGGTGGATAGTTGGGTAGGTGAATGGATGGATGGGTTGGTGAATGGAAGGAAAGAAGGAAGGAAGAGAAGGAAGACAGAAGGAAGGGAGGAAAAGTAGATGGTTGGAAGGGTGGATGGATGGAAGAGTGGGTGGATCAATGGATGGAGGGAAGAAGGATGGGTGAGTGGATAGAGAGATACATGCCATGACTTGGAGCTATTGGGGAGAAGACCCTCTTGACTGAAAGAGGTTCCTGAAAGCCCTGTGTCCTCCACAGGCAGCCTGTGACGTGTTCTGCGTGGGGGACGACGTCAACATTGAGAAGGCGAACAATTCTCTCATCAGCAACGACCGCAGCTGGAAGAGGAACAAGTTCCGCCTCACCTATGTGGCCGAGGCTCCAGAGCTTACACAAGGTAACTCCCGCCACCTGCTGGGGTGGCCCTTATGACCGTGTGGGGACACAGACCTCACCCCCAAAATGAACCGATTGTTGCCCCACGCTCAGTAAAACATGCGGAGACATATCTCTCTCGTCCTCTTCTCTGCTTGGTTCAACCAAATGTGCCTTCTGTTCTGCAGTGTTCATGACCATCTGCCATCCCAATCAGGGCCTACCTCTTTGCTTTTATTTTGAAATGAGGTCTTACTGTGTTGCCCAGGCTCGTCTCAAACATCTGGGCTCAAGCAATCCTCCTGCCTCAGCCTCCTGAGTGGCTGAGATCACAGGTGCACGCCACCACCCCTGGCCTGGAGAGTTTTTATGGACAACTGTCCACTCCCATCTCAGAAAGAATGTTGTTTTTCTCCCCACAGGTCTATCCAATGTCCACAAAAAGCGAGTCTCAGGCGCCCGACTCCTTAGCCGTCAGAACCTCCAGAGCCCTAAATCCAGGTAGGAACACCTTGGCTCCCTCAGTGATCCACCTCTGCTTCCGGATGCCACCCACAATAGGGACAAGTCCTTGTTGACTCCAAGGACTGGCTTCCTGCTTCTCGACCACTGCAAGGCACCAAAGAGACCCTCTTGCTGCTCTGTGGCATCGGGATCTCCTGCTTTCCCTTTGCCAAACTTTGAGCTGGAGGAGTGGAAGAAGGAGATGGTGTTGAGAAAAGGGGTTTGTGAGTAGTTTTAATAGTGAGTGGCATCCCAGTAGAATTGCTAAATCAATGTTCATGGTACCAGAACATCTAACTCAGAAATCAGTTAGTCCAAGCATTTTCTCATAGTGGATAATTTTTCTATGAAGTACTAAAAAAAAATGGCCACTCAGACTCTACTTAAATTCCTTTGGGATGACGGGAGGTTCATCACCTCACAGAACAGCCCACTCTGTGTTTTGAAGTCCTAATTGTTAGAAATCCTTAATAGCCAGCACAACCAAACACCTCAATATCTAATATAACCAAAACATATCTTCCTAGAATTTCATTTTAAGCTCAGTTATACTCTCCAGTGATGCCCAAAACAAGTTCATTTCTTCCCATTGAGAGATCTGCAAACAGCCAATGTCCCATTGAGAGATCTGCAAACAGCCAATGTCATTGACCTGTCTTCCGTGGGTCCTGATTCCTTCAAGTCATTCTTCCTAAGACCTGGTTTCCCAAGCTCTGGGCTTTAGTAAAAGGATGCACTCTGACCTGCTGGAAATGTCATCCTCAGACCTGGTCACAGTGCAGTGGCGGCCGTGTGATCGCCACCAGGACTGTGAACCTATTATTACTATCACTGGTCTGAGCAAGACGCACTAATACCACCCAAGATTGCAGGCGCCGTTCTAACAGCCATTCCGCTCTTCCATTAAGTCCACATCTCTGCTGCCCTGAGACATCACATCTCAAAATGATTGGGCCAGGCCCGGCCATCCCTGGACTGGTATGAGCAATTTTCTCACGCTGGTGAAGGTCTTTGCATCGATTCCAGCCGAATGGAGGTTTTTTGACTTTGCAGTTATAGCCCATGAAGATCTTTTGAAACTTGGATTCTTTGCATAGCACAGTAGAAGGAGTGGGCTCTTGAGTCGGGCATTCCTGGGTTCTGCCCCCAGCTCTGCCACGCACCAGCTATGTGGCCTTGGACAAGTCACTCAAGTGCTCTGAGCCTGTCCCCTTATCTATAAAGTGGGAGGGATGGCTATAAAGATTGCTGACGTTTATCTAGGGCTTTCTCTGTTCCAAGCACCGTGCTAAGTGCTCTGAGAAGGATCTCTCATAATTCCAACCCTCCCAGTAAGTAGGTTCTGCAATCATCCACATTTTTTTTAACTGAGGTCTCTTTGATATCCAGGGTGGAGTGCAGTGGCATGATCACTGCTCACCTCACCTCCACCTCCTGGGCTCAGGCAATCCTTCCACCTCAGCCTCCTGAGTATCTAGGACCACAGGCATGCACCACTGCCCATAGCTAATTATTTTATTTTATTTTATTTTTGTAGAGATGAGGATTCACTGTGTTGCCCAGGCTGGTCTCCTGGGCTCAAGCGATCCTCCTACCTTGGGCTCTCAAAGTGCTGGGATTGCAGGTGTGAACCACCAACCCCAGCCATCATCCACATTTTTTT